AAGCAGGGAAAGGCCTCCCACTACCATCCATACCTGAACCACAAAACTGTTAAATGCAGTTTCTGGCCAGCAGAGGGCTACAGAGTGTGGCCCAATGTTAAATTGCTCAAGTGTATGGACAAAGGACCACCGAAACCAATTTGAAAGCAAGAACTTAAAGTGTAAAAACTCCTGTGTTGCCTTTACCAACTAGGTTTAGTAGAACCAGCTGACATAACTTGGTTAAATAAATTCAACATAAAATTTTTTTAGAGTATAATTTTGGGAGACATTTTTTCAGGAAATAAAACTTGTTATGCTGAAACACATTGCACCACAGCATAACACCACCAAATTTTGAACAAGCAGAATCAGAAGTAATCTTTGACCTCTAAACGACTACATAATTTACCTGTCATAAAGGACTCAAAGTAAAACTGGAGGAGAGTTCCTATATGTTATGGATTTATAGCTGATTGTGATATAAGCAGTTTCTAAATGACAGGTTTGCTGATTAAGTTCTAAACTTGTCAGCTCTCCGAGGAAAGAAATCACTCGTTTTTTTTTAACTTTTTGAACCTATTTTCCGAGTTAAAAAGCTCCTCAATTTATTGCTAGACCCTGCAGAAAAAAATCTCTCTCTAAACTTAAGTGCTTTAAATGAGAAAACAACTCTCTTTGGAGGCTGAAAGTTTTAGTGAGAGTGGTACTGCATAAATTGAGCTTCCGGTCGATAAACTCAATCTCAGGAGGATTGATGTGCTCATCGAATTCATGGCGATCCAGCTTAAGTTAGAATTCGGTCTTTTGGCCCCCAAATAAGTGCGGTAACACGAGTGCCTGGTTAATGGGCTAGCCCATTTAAATGATTCACTTCATTTTTAGAAAGACTCAAGGTTTATTTTTTATTTCAGAATCTAAGTGTTTGTTGTTTGTCATAATGTGGTATATTTTTATTTATTTATTTAATATTTTGATAATATAATAATAATCCTGTTACTATTTTGTTTGTGCTTCACAACAGATCTCCAGAAGACTAACGTGTCCTGATTCATCTCTCACTGACTCTTACTGTCAAATACCCACATGTTATGATTTATTGCACTCTCACTGTTCACAAAAAGTGCTACTATTTCAATTTAGCATCTTTATAAGGCTAATTAAGATGCATTCAGATATGGTGCACACACACACACACACACACACACACACACACACACACACACACACACACACACACACACACACACACACACACATATATATATATTGTGTATATATAGGGATGTGGGAGTCCTCTTTATGGAGTCAACAGCATATTCACAAAGACAATTGAAAACTACGTATTGTGTTATTTTCTAAGAAAACAAAGACAGATTTTAAGGAATAAATAAATCAATAAATAAAAACTGTTCCACAAAAGTAATTGGGGGGGGGGGGGGGGGGGCTTTAGAGTAGTGCCCTGTTTAGGTTCATTAATTTGCAGGAAATAATAAATGCAGGAAAAAGGAGTAGAAGGCGATTTTACTTGCAACCTGCATGTGAAACTTAGAGTGACCAATTATATTTCAAAAAGAGCAAGTATTATACATTTGTCAGGGAACCTCACTTTTAAAGTACTAAATAAGTAGCCCCAATCTCCATTTATCCAAATTACACTTTAAAAATCAAATGCTGAATTTACTAACCAAGTTATGTCAGTTGGCTTGAGTTTCTTGAGCAGATGGAATGCTGGGTAATGGAGTCCTAAGCGGTGTTGCATCCTGAGGGAGTGTGTGACAACATCTAAGCAATTATAATGGAACCAGTTGATGAACTTGGTTAAGTAAATCCAACATTTAATTTTTTGAGTGCAGGGTAACAGTTATTTACAACAGGTAAGATGTAAATGGACAAAATCTGCATTATAAACGGTTTTGATCCTGCATGGTGGTGCAGTGGTTAGCACTGTTGCCTCGCAACACAAAGGTTGCAGGTTCAAAACTCGGCTGCGGCCTTTCTGCGTGGAGTTGCGTGTTCTCCCCATGCATGCGTGGGTTTCCTCCGGGTACTCCGGTTCCCCCCACAGATCACAACATGCCCTATAGTTTATAAATTGTGAGTTGCTTTGGATAAAAGCGTCTGCTAAATGAATAAACATAAACATAAACATATGAAAGACCCAAGACTGGAGCACCAATGACAACTTGTTGCTGCAAAAACTCTGCATATTGGATATTTTCAGCTTTCTTGTTTGTGGTGTGAGTGCATGTAAACGTCCAGATGAGAGGTAAATGTTTCACTTGATGATTTTTCTAGTAAAACAATAAAATTTGTCATCCCACAGAAGAAGCAGAAGTCGTGCTGTGTCCGTGTGCCCGCATTAGCTTACCGGTGTGTGTGTGTTGTGTTTGGATGTCGCAGTTGAAGGGACGAAACGATGTATTAAAAACATACACCATCTGTAACTTCCCAGAATGAAAATACTCCTGAAGGGCATGTTTGGTCGCCTTACAGCTGCAATCCAAGTGAGCCGATGAGACTTTTTTCTGCTAGGTACTTGATCTCCTGGCTGTTCCTCCAAGCAGGAAAACTGTGGAAAAGTTAGGTTGTTTTCCACCTTTTCCCTGGCGATCAGGTATTGCACCCCACAACACAATAACGACTTTCCATAGTTGAGTAATATAACTGATCAAATTAATAATAGATTAATTTAAGCTGCAAGAACGAGACTGAGCTTGCTGTTTACAGCAGTAAAAATGCAACAAGTAAGGGCTCATAGGCCGCCAACGGGATGGCCACGTTGGTGATGACGTCACAAGCCCTATTCTGCTGACTTGGCGGCACGGTATATCCTGTAAAAAGGGCCATTAATAATCACTAGTGTTATTAATCACTAGAGTCTATACAAAGACATGGACACCCATGATCTACACCTCCACATACATTACAATCGATGCATTTTCACATCACAAACTCTTTCAAATGTATCCTTTCGAGGTGAAATCCAACATGATCTCATGCCACAGAATCACATTTTAAGTCTTTTGTGTGCATTTGATGTATTTTTATTTACATCATATTGAATTATGGCTCATGGATGTGGATATTTACCTGAATCTTGGTATATCTTCGCTGCAGTGACTGAGCATTACTTTAAATTTTGCTGTTGCAAGCCAATGCAGGATTGCATTGTGCTCCTTCCTTTCAGAAATGATGATCCAGTGTTTCCTGTACGCCTATTAAGATAAGCAGAAAAGTACTGAGGCACATTTTCTTTGCAATTAGAACATTTGAAAAGATCTTATCAGGGCTGTTCTTAGAGCTCCTATCACTCAGAAACTTCCATTAGCTAAAATGACACTCCGGTGCCTATATGTGTGCGAGGGGTGTTTTCACATTACCATTTTTTATACTTGAAGAGCCTGCTAATTAACTTCCATGGAGCTGAATTGATTTAATTACAGATAAAACATGTTCAAAAGGGGAGAGAAACAGCAGATCAATCAAAGTGTTTAATGAACTAACAAGACAACTAATAAGGTGAATTTGTAACGATCGTGTAAATTTTTTATTCATAAAAGATTATCGTAAAGTCAGGAGGGAATAATGGTTCGATGCCCGAGAGAAGCTGAGCAGTGATGATGCAAATTTGAATGCCTGTGCCATTTGTTTGTCGCTAAAATCATCCATTAATGTCTTTGAGTTTGTTGGATCATTTTGGTGCTGCTCCAATTAACTGATTTAAAGCAGAAGTCTGTAATTTATTACTAAACCTTCTGGTCCAACAGATATAATTTATTCCTAATTTGGAACAAATTAAGATCCAAATATACAAAAGTTTCAATAAATTAGCTCTATTTTTCTAAAAGTGTTGTAAAATTTGTTATAAAACTAATTCAAATGCTTGTAAACAGTTTACTTCTACATTAGGGAGAAATTTCAAAGATACTTCATTAATTCCAGAGGGATTTTTCCAGGTTAATACAAAACTGGCAGTGAGTCTGACATATTAAGACTGTGGAGAAACATTAGGAAAAGGGAAAAAAGAGAACATACAGGAAATCCCACAGCCAAAACTGACCCCATTCTTTGATTGCAAGACTCTTACAAACCCATACACAACTATGAAACCCAATGCAGGCTACTGCATTTCTGCTATAAACATTAACAAGTTCATTAAATCTTTAATTTGAGAGAAAGGTGTTGGTTGGGCTTTCAAATTAGGAAACAATTATCAATTCATCCAATTTCTTCCGCTTATCTGGAGTCAGGTCACAGGGGCAGTATCCTAAGTCAAGAGGCCCAGACTTCCCTCTCCCCAGCCACTTGGGCCAGCTCCTCCGGGGGAATCCCAAGGCGTTCCCTGGCCAGGTGAGGGACATAGTCTCTCCAACGTGTCCTGGGTCTACCTTTAGGCCTCCTCCCAGTTGGACGTGCCCAGAAAACCTCAGCAGGGAGGCGTCCAGGAGGCATCCTGACCAGATGACCGAGCCACCTCAACTGGCTCCTCTCGATGTGTAGGAGCAGTGGGTCTACTCCGAGCCCCTCCTGGATGACTGAGCTTCTCACCCTATCTCTAAGAGAGAGCCCAGCCACTCTGTGGAGAAAACTCATCTTGGTCGCTTGTATGCACGATCTCGTTCTTTCGGTCACTAGCCAAAGCTCATGACCATAGGTGAGGGTAGGAATGTAGATCGACCGGTAAATTGAGAGCTTCGCCTTCTGACTCACATCACGGTGAGCTTTCCCTCACTCGTGAACAAGACCCCGAGATACTTAAACTCCTCCACTTGGTGCAGGACCTCATCCCTGACCCAGAGAAGTCATTCTACCCTTTTCCGAATCAAGACCACGGTTTCAGATATTAGAGGGGCCGATTATCATCCCAGCTGCTTCACATTCGCCTGCAAACCGTTCCAGCGAAGGAAACAATTAACTATTGCAATATTTAAATGTACTTATTTTTGCTGATGCTGTCGATGGTGCACAATAAACTCACCAGAACAGTAAAACCAAACTATTTTACCAAAATTAATTAACCTAAACAGGGGCGAATCCACAGGAAGACAATGGGGGACTCTAAAGCTTTTGTGGAACATTTGTTTTTCTCATTTATCCTTTAAAATGTGTCTTTGTTTTCTTAGAAAGTAACTTAATACATAGTTTTCAATTGTTTTTATGAATATTGTGTTGACTCCATAAAGAGGACTCCTACATTCCTTAATGAGGAGGTGGAGATTTGCCATCCTGCCTTGACCTTGGTGCCTCCTTTGCCCCGCCCTCCCCAATCAGAAACGTTCAAGATCCATCACTGCTGAGGGATAACCCAAGATTGCAAATCTATAAAGCTATAGAGATTACCCTATTTTATCATATGCTGTCATTTTTAACATTCATTCATTCATTCATTCATTCTTTCATTCTTTCTTTCTTTCAAAGATATGTTGATTCTAAAAGTTCATTTCAAATAGTAAAAGTTCATATTCTGGTTGTTCTTATTATAAGAAAGAGGCTATTTATTTATTTATTTATTTATTTATTTATTTAGAGTTATTAGTGTGTTGAAACATAAGACGAATGTCATTTAAGGAGGTGCTGAAAAGCATCTCAAACCTAATTTCAGTGCGAAATAATTTTCCTTTATGTACATAATACTTAAAACTTTATGATTGTATAAACACATTTCTTGCACGAGTGGGAGCTGGTTCTTGTCTTTCTGGTAATCTGAGGATCCTTAAAATGGATCTTAACCCGCACTCTGAGAGAAGAGTGTGTGTTCGGATGACTAGATTGGTCAGTGGGATTTAAACGCCTTATTAAAGTCAATCTAACATCCCTACGGAGTGTGGATCCCGAGTGGGAAAGCCTCGTGTCCATGCGCGCGGGTGGAGTTCAAGCAGGAGACATATCCCACAACAAGCGGTGGAAAAACACAAGGTGCGAGTTTCAATCCACTGAGTTTGCTGGACAGCTTCTCCCAGGACCGGGACCGGGACCGGGACCAGAACACCGGGAAGAGCGTGTTTACACACGGAAACGCGCACGGCTCAGTGAAGCGATCCGAGATCAACTGGAACTGCTTGTTTGCTCAGGACGCGCGTAAAGGACAGACGCTGCATGCCCGGATCTCTCCTTTCCTCTTTTCTCCGTTTTTTTTTTCAAAGAAAAGGAATAGAAACGATCACCAACGCCAAAACGGACGCGGTGAGTTTTAAAAACCGAGTAAGTACTCCGGAAGATCCACGAGCGCAGGGCAATTTAACCATTACGCATGGATTAGAGAGCGCAGAACAGATGGTAAACAGATCAATCGGTTTCTACTCACAAGAAGGGCTCGATAAAAGAAAATGCCACAGCTATATGAGCAAAGCACATTAAAGAGATGGAGCCGCTCTGCATGGAGTTCTGAAATACTGCGTAAAAGGGATGTAAGGTCAGTGACTGGCTGCTTTAGAGCCAAATGCTACTGATGTAGAAGAAGAAACAATCTGGACATGAATGGTGGTATGCTTAGATTTAAAGGTGGAAAATCCAGAAATAAAAGCTTAAATCTGGAAAAAAAACTGACGTTTTGTAACGAGTAAAAGCTGACTTACAGGAAAAACTTTAAACAACACTGGCAACACTTTTATCAATAATGACTTAAACTGGTGATTCAGTGCCTCATCACATCCTCTGTTAAGGTTTCAGTGAAGATGATGGAAGTGTTTACCCCCAGCATGGCGCAGTTGTAGTTTATGCAGCTGAATTCATTAAACACATGAGTCCAATTTGTTCAGATGGAGACATGTGGAAAGCATGCTGTAATCGTGGTCCTTAGTAAGTAGTTTTATGTACCAATAATCTTAAAATTCTATATTTATACTGCAGCTTTCCATAATTCATCTGCAGTAGCTCAGAGAATGAAATCCATGCGATGTTTTAAAATGAGATGATTCGTTTTTGGCATTAGCTGGCGAGGAGAGGTAAGCAGCCAAGTCATTTGGTCCAGTTAAAGCTGGAGAGAAAAATATCTTCTGTCATCTGTGCTCTATAGAGCTTTTCAGAAGCCCACACTGGTGTCTGTTTTCTGGGAGAGTGCTGCATTTTTTTGCTTTAAGTAGCTGACTGATGTGAGAGATATCAAGCAAAATGAAGAGAACACCACCGCACTTTGATGTAGAGCTTCTTTTAGCACACAGCGTCCCCTCCATCTGGTTGGGAAACTCACACACATATGGAGTTTCTTCTCTCGCTCTCACAACGAACCCCTTTTCTCTGCTGCCCTCTCTCACTTTTCTTTGCTGCACACACACACACACACACACACACACACACACACACACACACACACACACACACACACACACACACACACACACACACACACACACACACACACACACACATGCTCAACAACAGCAGCACACAAACATTCACCTTGGCTTTCAGGGTTAGGCATTGAATCAGTGACTCTTCAACTTGAAAAAAAACCCTCTAATAATTTATGAAATATATTTTAGCTGAATTTGTAAATTCTTTATGCAGTGATATCGTTTTCTCCCCTATCTCACTCACGACAGAGCACATTTATAAAGAGGTCTTGTTTGCAGCTAATTACATAAAATTCATTTTTAATAATTCAACGATACGGGCGATTACCCTCTAAGTGTTTAAACTGGGCACCACTTGTTCATGCATGAGAATAACCTCAGATATTCCTTTACGCGTGGGAAATTAAAAAACTCCATTATTTTTTTTTAAACACAGATTGCCCCCAATTGGCCTGAAGTCTCTCAGTTTCTTTTAATTCGTGGATTATTGAGCTAAAACTGGAGTCGTGTTACTTGCTGGGTCTTCCACCGGTCTCATTCATGGATAGGGTGCTTATTGTTAAAATATATATTTATATTAAAGAAATATATTTAGATTTAATGAGACTCAGCATATGTGGTACTTCTGGAAAGTTTGGGGTCGCTTAAAATCCGTCTTTGTTACCCAAATATAAACTCGTTTGGGTTGATTAGAATTATTAATTTATAATGTCTAAAGGAATATCTGCATGTTTATATATAAGGAACTGTCCTCAGCTCAATGCACCAATCTCCTGGTGTGTGTGTGTGTGTGTGTGTGTGTGTGTGTGTGTGTGTGTGTGTGTGTGTGTGTGTGTGTGTGTGTGTGTGTGTGTGTGTGTGTGTGTGCTCCATCAAGTCCCAATCTCAATACTCACACACCATTGAGCCCTTCAATTGTGTGATCCTATCCAGGGGTGCAAGTGGATGTTGTGGGGCTGTGTTGGTTGACGAGGCTCTGCAATATCGCGTGGACATTGGGGGCAGTTCCACTGGACTAGCAGACTGGGGTCCCTCCTATTTATAAAGAGGGACCGCAGAGTGTGTTCCAACTACAGAGGGATCACACTTCTGAGCCTCCCTGTGTCTGTTCAAGGTTTCTGGAGAGGATGGTTCGTAGAATTGTCGAACCTCGGATTCAGGGGGAACAATGTGGTTTTCGTCCTGGCTGTGGAATACTGGACCAGCTTTACACCCTTAGGGGGGGTCCTGGAGGGTGCGTGGGAGTTTGCCAAAGCAGTCTACATCTGTTTTGTGGATTTGGAGAAGGCGACTGCATCCTCTGAGGGGCCCTGTGGGAGGTACCTCAGGAGTACGGGGTACCAGGCCCTTTGATTCGGTCTGTTGGGTCCCTATGTGACCTGTGTCAGAGCTTTGTCCGCATTGCCTGCAGTAAGTTGGGGTCGTACCCTCACCTATGGTCACAAGCTTTGGGTAATGACCAAAAGACCAAGATTGTGGATACAGGAGGCCAAATGGAGTTTTCTCCGCAGAGTGGATGGGCTTTCCCTTAGAGAAAGGGTGAGAAGCTCGGTCATCCAGGAGGAGCTCGGGGTAGAACCGCTGCACCTCCATTTCAAGAGGAGCCAGTTGAGTTGGCTCAGGCATCTGGTCAGGATGCCTCCTGAATGCCTCGCTGGTGAGGTTGTCCATCCAACTGGGAGGAGATCCAAGGGAAGACCCAGGACAAGCTGGAGGGACTATGTCTCTCGGCAGGCCAGGGAGCACCTTGGAATACCCCCGGATGAGCTGGCCCAAGCAGCTGGGGAGAGGGAACTTGAATAACCCTGATTTAAGGTCTCTCAGGCTGAAATTACAAGCAAAAACTGTAATTTTCTTTGCTATGAAAGCAACGTTTGACAAAAATTCATAATCTCTAATTAATATCTTAATGTCCAATTTGCACCTCCTGTTAATTTGCCATATGTCCCATTCAAGCTAATTCAAAGAGCTCTTGTGGAAAATAAACAATCCTTATCTTTTAACGAATGAATAAATAAATAATCCCAAGCATTTGAGCAAAATTTGTGTCAGAGGCCCATTTACACAAAACACTGGAGGTTTACAAAAACAATCTATTGCACTTCTTTGCCACAGCCACAGAGCATCTAAACATGTCTGAATTGTTCCCAGTGGTGCTTTGCTGTTCATCCAACAGTTATCTAATCTGCACAGACTGGACCTGGTATCACACACACCACTTCCAGTGCAGCGGTCACATGAACAAACAGATGTACACTAATGTGACATTAGATCAGCTCTTCAGAGGAATCTCACAGACTGCCTTGTTGCATACATTTGTAAAGAAACCGTTGACATCCTTTGATGTTGCTGACAGTAGTGAGCAGCTGACTGACTAGTTTGGAGTGAATTTTCTGGATTTCAAAAATTAAAAATAAGCCTTTTATCCCCCAATTGACAACAACAAACACCTGAAATATTTATTTATTTAAGTTTACTACTTTTTACATGATGGGATGAGAGTAAATTGTAACTGCATTCGTGAATCAGCCTCAGTTTGATTTTGTTTTTATGAAATTCGAGAACTTTTAAAGCACCAGCTGGTGAAGGCTGAGACCCTTCCTGCTGGAACATCACCAGATTAACTGTATAATACAAATTTAACAGTAAAGATTTACAAAACAGCATTTGTATGAACATTTATACTCTCAATTTACCTCAATTTTGTCCAGATCCATTAGATTAGAGTATTTTCCTTTGGTGAAGAATGAATTCAGTGATGTTTATTTGTTGTTTTATTGTTGAAAAAACTGTTCTGAGCAGAGCCTTGAAAAAGCAACCTTTTTTAGGCAACTTGCTTGCATATTCACCACCAATGACTGGAAACGAAGATGGGAATTTTAGTTTAGACAGATACCAACAGAGTTTGAGTTTTGTTTTTTGGTAAATGGCCTGTGGTTGTATAGCGCTTTCTTAGGATGCTACAACCCCCCAAGTCGCTTCACAACACAATCAGTCATCCATACATTCACACACACATTCATACGCTGGTGATGGTCAGCTGTTATGTAGCCACAGCTGCCCTGGGGCGCACTGACAGAGGCAAGGCCTGCCATAGACTGGTGCCACTTGTCCCTCTGACCACCACCAGCAAGCAAGGCGGGTTAGGTGTTTTGCCCACGAACACAACAGCAGCATTCTCTGGTGAGAGCCAGGATTGAACCAGCAACCTTTCTGATTACTGGATGACCAGCTCCACCTCCTGACCTGCTGCTGCTATTTTCTCTACACAAATATGACACAGCTGAAAGCCTTGAAAGTGAAGTTACACGTATGTTCTAGAAGCTACCGCCTCTTTTGCTTCTGTGGAACGCGCATGTATATTTCTAGGATGATTGATCTGAAGCTGCTGCAGCAAGGCAATAGATAATGGCAGGGACCAGACTGAGTGGTTATAGATGCGTGCTAAACTAGCCAAATGTGTAAGAGTTGCATCTAAAGCATGGAGCATTGTTGCACTGAAGTAGCCATCTTTACCTAAGCGCAGTGAAGGATTCTGGGTATTCAGCCAGTGCAGATGGACCTGTCCTCAGAAAAGCTAACAGTGGAACCAAGAATGTCCAAATCACTTACACATTTCTTTACATTCTTTAAAATCTATTTATTTATTTTTAATAGAGTTACATTTTTGGAGAATATCTGCAGAATCACCGTTATTTGTTTTGAGGGAGCTTTTTATTTGTTGCTTGTGCATATTTACAATCAGCATTCCAGTTATGCGTATCTGATTGTTGGCTGATAAATCAACAAAAAGAATCAAGAAAATGTCATTTCAGAGCCCTTTTAACTCAATAAACTGATTGAGAATGATAGACTTTTGCATTTTTGGTGTTAACGAGTGATGCTACAGTTAGCGCTCAGCTTTAACAGCTTTAACATGAGCCACGATGCAGACAAATCCATTCTTGTTTTAGCTTCAAATGTAAAAAAAACATCAACAGCAATGTTATTTTAGCTGCAACAAATAAGAAGTCTATGCAGGGTTACTTTCTAAATTACAGCAAGTTTTAAGTCACATCTTTGCTGTGGAATGATCAAAAGGAGTAGAAATGGCAGCCCAAACAAAGGATTAACAAACAGT